CTTACTGGACCGAGAACTTCGATCTTAATTAGACGACAGCATTTTAGGCCAGCTCTGACAGCTCCGAGCGACGATGAGAGCCTAATCCTCGAACTAATCGGCAACGTCGAAGAGCAATCATCCTAATGCACCCATCGACGATATCGGAAGATTCGACATTTTGATCATTACTATTTTATTAAACAGGAATTATCGAGCAACGTTTATGTTCGCTGTAAGAATCGGGGCCAATGGCACGAGCCTTGAACTTCCAATTAATTGGCGAAGAATCAACGGGATCGTCGCTATGAATGAAAGTCTTCAGCGATATTGAGAGGTTTCAAATCCTCTTCCTCAGTGGCAGCTTTCAGCGACGATAGAACACACGAAACTCTGATCGACAACAACCAGTGACAAGCTTTGAGGGGCGACGAGAGCCTCGAAAGCTCACAGCGATCATACAACTCTCGATACTCCAACTGATCAACATTTATTCCCATAAGATTCAATAAGAACAAATATCGTGAGAATCGACATCCTTGGAAGATGATTTAAAATTATTCCCTCCACCTACAATATATATCATGTTCCTCGAGATTTTAACGACGATAAAAAATCTCGAATCCACCACAACTGTTATTTCTGCTAAAAAAAATAGTAGACGAACGTCTCTGACGATGAAACCCCTAAACGTCCACCTGGACAGTGGTCAGTTTGCCACATAAAAATGTTCGAACGTTTCCTACGAGCAGAAAACGGTTCTAATGATCGTCCAAGATGGCGACAGAGAGTAATTTCAGGGTCTGCACGTGTGCAGAGCGGTTTCCCTGGGAGATTTCACGGATTAACTGGAGCGTGATGCCTTATCTCAGGTAGGTTGCACACACCGGGATTCAGCGAGCGTAACTCGTCGCGACTAATCGAAGTCGATCGTCGCCTGGGAGACGAAAAAGGGGGATCCTGTGCATTCGGAGGATTCGCGACGCCGTCCGCCAGGGACGACAACCGTCGTCAACGGCGTTTAATTAATCCACTTCCAGGCTTGTAACCGGGGCAAAGCTGTGTATTCCATTTGGGGATTGGCTGGCTCGACGGACGCGACTCCGGCCGGACTTCCTGTCAGAACTGCCCTGGACGAACCGAAATGTACCGCCTCTGTTGCCATTATTGCTCCACGGACGAACCCTAACAGCCGGCTGACGTTTTTTATTTGATTCTCGTCGGGAAATCGTTGTCTGATTTGTCTCGTCCCTCGATTCGCCAGGATATGAATCGACGAAACGAGGAAAACGTAATAGAATCTGATGACGTTCGATGGAAGAAACGTATCGAGCGACCCTTCGAACCGTGAACATTGAATTTTTCTCAATTTTTATTTAAACTCTTCAGTTGTTTTCCCGGTCAACTGTACGCGGAGTAGCGTTAACGAGATTACGTAGTAGGGTTAAGTCTTACGTTAACACGTCTCGCGACAAGATCGATGTCCTCGTTAAGAGGCACTAATCGCCAACTTGAGGCTACCGCTCGAAAACTGTGACAGAAGATTCGTAATCGACGAGAATTTCACACCCGTTAACGCGTTTCGAAACTTGAAAACTGCTTCTGATTACGAAGTAACGTTTCCACGGGATGGGCTCGACGGAGAAAGCGCCTTCGGAACTTTTCCGTCCTCGGTGTTGGAAGCTCGACGCGGACGGCGTTTCAGAAAATCATTACTCGCGACGAGTCGGGTGAAATAATGGATTTCTGATGCAATTACGATGCTCCGCTCGAATCGCTGCGGTCGTACCTTTTATTCGAGACCCCGTTGCCTTTCCCTGTTGCAAAGTCCCCGTTTTCTCTCTAGAGAGAGCTTCTACCGTGCGCCATTTCATAGACTCGAAAGTTTCCGGAGTTTCGCTCCCGGGGCGGAGGAAAAAAGAGAGACGAAACTCCAATTAACCCTTTGGGGAACGCTGGACTTTCGCGGTTAAACACACTGGCACGGGAATACATATTTCAGTCACGATTCTTTTTCAACCCGTTCCTTCAAAGCCTTTCACAACCTTTGGGGATTGTTTGACTCTACGTACAACGTCGAGAATCTCGAGACACCTGTTGTAAAAAAACTACCCTGGAACTTTGAAGCACGGTCGAGTTTCGAATAAAAATGAAAATTTATCCCTTCTCGACGTTTTTATAATTCCGTTAAGCTCCAAGTTTCGAGCAGAGTTCTACGATCGATATCGGAGTCCGATATTCGGTTCCCGAAGTCTGGAGGCAAGGAACCGAGAGAACTTTTCGCGGTTAAATCGAATCTAGACTGTATCCTGGGATAACCAAGCAATATTCGAACCCGAGTTAAATCAAATCGGGTCTCCATCGGAAAAGTTCGAAAAGGATCCCTGGTAAGTGAATTAACTTCAACCTCGAGGCTGACTGGAACATTTCAAATTACGTGCGTCGAAAGTGGAGCAGGAGAAGAATCGACAGCGATCGTTTGAAAGACTTATTAAATCCAGAGGGTCGAGAGTACATAAAAAATTGAATTCCAAGCGAAAGTGTGGATGGATCGCGAGAGTTTGCGTTGTCCAGGCGCGCGTAGCTCGATCATCATCATCGAGTGGACAATGGACGAGCGTGCGTGACGTCGTCAGCAGCCTATTGGGTTACTGGAACCGCAGGAGCTTGACGAAGTGCACTTGAGTGTGCTTGACGCAAAGACGCTGAATATGCAAGCTCACCGGATGCCGGCTGTCGGCACGATGTATTACTGCGGATCTTATCCAGACCCGTTGTCATCCATATTGAAACCTATTTGCATTTCAAACTCTCCTGCACGACAAACTCTGTCTCTCTCGGCCGGGATCTCCTTTTTTTCTTTCTTTCTTCCCGCGGATCCTTCGGCTTTCCCGCGTGTTTGCATAAACGGAGCGACGATTGGAGATGCACTCTCCCGTCAGACGTTCGTCCGTGTTCGATTCCGGTCGGAAACCAGAGATCTAGGAACCTTGGACGAACTTCCTACCCGTCCTCGAGGAGCAAACGACGACCTCTTCCTCGAGACGACCATTGATATCGAGATTGGAACGATGCACTATCGATCACCAACGTTGGGAACCGCTTTGACGAGCACGCTCGTTTGATTTCAATTTTATTCAAGGAGCAGAGCTGATCTTGGGGCCTATGAAAATTTCTCTGAATTGGAAATAAATAAATAACTCTGTCAACTTCCACATGGAACCTTGATCATTTTTTTCATTTAGAAAAGTGGAAACTAGCGTGAGAAATCTGGCCAATTCCGGGTTAATAATCGCAGCGATCGGCTGATAATTTCAATTTTATTTGAGGAGCAGAGCTGGTCTTGGGGCCTATGAAAATTTCTCTGAATTTGGAAATAAATAAATAACTCTGTCAACTTCCATATGGAACATGATCATTTCTTTTTATTTAGAAAAGTGGAAACTGGAGTGCTCTGTCGAGAGCACGTGAGAAATCTGGCCAATCCCGGGGTTAATAATCGCAGCGATCGGCTGATACATCGCTGGATCGACGAGGCCCGTCGCGGAGAAATATGAAAGGCCATTGGAAGTAATTGTCTGCGACGAGAGAAGGATCGAGATCGAATTTCGAGTACTGATTGCGTCCTTTCATCGAATTCTACAGCCCGTGGAAGATCCACGTGTAAGAAATATCCCTATGAATCACGCGACGGCCATTGTCCCGCGCGAAAGAATGGTCCCAGCTCGGATCTGGGATCCTCAAAGCGCCTCTTCTTCTTACGCATTCTGTGTCGCCCTTTTCTAGGTACCAAAAATACTCTTCGACCAACATTCCATATCTTGAAACGAGAATTATAAACGAGGTTGGAGAGTGAAATGTCCTTTGGTACGTTTGATTTAATTCCAGAAATTCTTTAGAGTTGTCCGAATATACTACACTGCTTCGACTTTCTTTTAAAATTACAAACTTCATCGTTAGATCGAAATGTCAGAATTAAATAAATATTCAGAAAACTATTAAAATAATAATAATATGTACTCGAACGTTGATAGAATATTTCTGTTGTATCTTTAACGCGCCAGACTGTGCTACACTGCTTCGACTTTGTTTTAAAATTACAAACTTTATCGTCAGGTCGAAATGCCAGAACTGTAAATAATAATAAATATTCAGAAGACTATTAAAATAATTATAATACGTATTCGAACGTTGATAGAATATTTTTCCTGTGTTTTTAACGCGTCAGAGATCCAACTGTTCGACAATGACACCATTTCGCGACCGTTTGCGCAAAATGTCGCCGAGAATCGTAGCCGCCGCGCTGCAAAAGAACGCACAGAACGAGCAGACGCAGCGCCCCGCGTCTCCATTTTCGATTTTCCAGAGAATTGCTGCTCGAAAGTTTACTGTTTTAAAATTTTGCGACCGTGGGGGGTGCTGCGTCTTCTCGAAAAAATGATTATGGCCTCGCGAAGTCCTCGTGTCTCGGGATACGTCTTCGCGCGAACTTTTCCAATAAGTGGCGTCGTCCAGGGAAAAATGGGGAGAGGATCGACGAAGAAACGTCGTGGGAGGCGAGCAGGAAAATTGGAAAAGTTATGATCGAGAAGGGACCGTCCTTTGATCGACTGAGAAATCTTTGAAACGAAAATTGGAATTATTGTTTGGCGTAAATAAGTTACGAGACGAAGTCGTCTACTCCATTTTATTCTAGTTCGTTTCATTTCGAAACAATATCTTCGCCAAGTTCTGCTAAATTTTGTTTCGATGACTGGTTCGTAGGTGGCAAGAAAGAAGGAAGGTTTGCTGTTTCACGTGAAATCACGAGATACGTAGGATCCAAGGGGTTGGAGCATCGGGGGTGGATTAACGTTCCAGCGACGGAATAAGGGAGCCAGGGTTGATTTCGGGCTGCGCGAAGCAAATTTACCCCGGCGACGAGGATTTCGTTCGGGCCGACAGTGTGGCTTAAATCTAACAGTATTTTCGGGGGTGGGTTGACAGGGGTGGCTCGCAGCCTAAGGGCGACGTGAGCTTACCTTACTTCCCCTTTCGTTAAATATGATTTCCACGTCGAGGATTGGCCCGAATTGCTGAAAAACAGAAAAGCAACGTTGTCTCGAGAATATGTTACCACCAGAATGCTCCGTGAACATTCTCCGGATAATCGCGATCGATTTACAAATAAATCCTCGTATTGCTCGAAATATCGTTCTTATTTTTTTCTTTTTATTTTTTTAGATACATTTATTGGTCCCCGATTTAGAATTTATTTAAACGTTTGTTTCCAACGAGCAATTAAACGCTAAGCCACGTTCCCACGTTGTTCCGATTTGAGAATAAAATAAGAAAAATAACGGCGCAATTGCTATCCTTAATAATATTTAATAGTGCTATTACTTCGAGTTGCTATTTTGTATCGAAGAACGATGTTGTTATATCATTCTTTATTATATAAGTTTTTCCAATAAAGACAGATCGAGTAAACAAAATTCTAAAATTGCTATAGCTACATTTAATAGACGTTGTTATATCATTCTCTAATGCGCAAAAGAGCATTATTAAATATCAGAATCATTTTTGTGAATCCCAAAATACCTGAGTGTATGCACGATCGATCAAATATTTGAACAGCGTTATAATCATAGGAATGTGGCTTTACTCGTGTGATAGCTCGATGCTCGCAAAGCAGAATGAAGAACAGACGGAAGGAGGATAATCGAAATATTCCAGTTAAACCGTGCAAAGCGATAAAGAGGAAGTATGCTGGGAAGCTGGAAAGATTGCCTCTGAATAGTATCCAGATTCGATGATTATTTCGCTATTGATCAACGTTTAGTGTCGGATGAACTCGTGATTAACCACTTAACGCTGTAACCCGAAACTCTAAACAGAAATCCAAACGCTGGATACCACATTTTTAAACATCGTATACTTTGTCAAGGCGGAGTGTTATGTATTTGAGGTACCATTGATACTCGAAATCGAAACTAGGGGCGAATGAAACTCCAGAAAGAAATTTAACGATTAGATATCATACTCTTGAGTATTTTTAGGTGGACGTTAAGCGGTTAATGGTATTACTATCGTGAGAACGCATTTTACGGACGAAAGAAAACTGAATGTCACATAACGAACACCACTCAAAGACAATCTTCAACGTCTCCAATGGGAGGAAAGTGAAACTCACCCCAAACATTGCCCTGAGATCAGGGTCCCGGAAACGGAAAGGTATATTGCTGACGTGAAGGCGTTTTGGCTGACTTTTCAGGTCGGTACCCTGTGTAGCGGTCGCAGGTGTCGTCGCGCCGGAAGTGACAGGTACCAAGGTGCTGCCTTCGACGGTACCTTCGGGGCTGGTCTCGTTCCCAGCCGGTGTTGGAGCTGGTTGTTGGCCACCGCCGCCTGCAGCTGCAGCTGCCGCTGCTGCAACCGCTGCCTGAAACACCTCCGACTGTCGTCGAAAAACAAAACAGTCGTTAGTCGTACACCCGAATACAAATTAATTTTTAATACTGTTACGACGCGAAATAACAATTACGATTTATTCTGTATTGCAGCGTAACAGTAAATTCATAAAGCCAGCGGATGTAGAGTCAGACCTTTCACACAATCAAGTTTTGCCTATATTCAAGTGCCATTAAGACGGCTATTTAATTATTAAATTCATTCAAATTTGCATGACCCTTCAAATCCAGGTGTTCTATGACTTTACTACCTGCAATAACATCGAAAACCAGTGCTAGATGTTTTATGGCGAGTCAGGTATCGTAGGACACATCTGGGCACCAAGCGGGGACCTGGGTCACAAATATTCACTCGTCATTAACATTGACGTGTGAAGTTGAGTACATCAGAAAGTTTCATTCACCAAATTTTGAATTACTTTGCTCAATCCCTCAACAAATACTTTAAACACTCGTCGATGATAATTTATGATACTCCAAACGATAACAATGGCGCAGATATTTTCAATATTTCGAAGTTACCACGACGTTAGACCTCTTCGACCTTTGACTTTACGATGATCCGATTTCTAGCTCCAGAAAGTCAAAGGTCGTATTTAAATTTAAAGCAGTCTCGAAGCTTCGACTCTCTTGCGCGTTAAAATTTTTCTTCGGTGTCCTATTATAGGGCGCAAAGCGCCCCTAACTTCGATCTCGAGTTTGCAACCTAGAATCCCGTTTTAACAAGAATCAGAAAACGCGATGAGCAACAAGACGAACGATTCCGTTTCGCAGGGTGGTAAATTTCAAAACCCCTGGTTAATTGGATCCACTCAGTCTTCCCCTAATCGCGGCAAAAAATCATTTACGGTCCGCGTGGGTAAGTACACGAGCCAAGATACGATCGTCGACGTTAATTTTACGCAAAGAGGTGTGCAATTTCTGGGTCGTTTCGGCACGAAATATCTGCCGACGTTTGACAGCCATTATTTTTTTCAACCCCCATTTAACTGGACTTACTCACGCCTCTTTATAATATCCCTAACGGTGTCGTGTGTAGAAGATACAAAAATATATTTCGATGTTTTCTATTAAATTCATTTTTTAAATATTTTAATCTACATTAAGGCGTCCATGGGTTTCAGCGTTGATTAATTTACGGGGGGAGAGGAGCGGTTATTTTCGGATCCATAACGCTGACAGGTAGACAAATATTGTTCGGGGAGCCTCCAAGTAGAATCGTCCGTAAGTGGTCAGCCACGCGGCGCCCACCTTATCTTCCCTTACGCTACTAACGAGCCTAAGTGAACACGCCTCGCGTATAGTCAGACGCAGCACCAGCTGCTACGTACAATTTCTGACTACTGAACTTTATCTCGACACCGTACTACGAGAGCTAGCCACGTACCGGAACTAAAGCAATTTGAGCCACGCTCCCGCTCGCTATTAATACACACTTATTGTTAGTCGAAGAAGATATTTCACGTGCACGGCAGAATTTCACGAGACGATATACTGTGCGACCGTGCAATTAATTCGATAAGCCCAAGGCCTCCCGTGCAACCCGATCCTCGTTAATACTCGAACCTCCCTAAAAGTAAAAATATTCCCTGTCCAAAATATACGAAATACACGTTCAATCTTTGTGAGGGGTAATTAAATTCTAATTACAAAATTTTTTATGTCAAAGACACATGATAACTCTCAATGCAATGGATGAGATTCAGCAAAAATATATTAAATCCACCCTTAACGATTACTTCTTCACTACTCATCGCAACGCAATAAATATCAACACATTCAATCTTTGTGAGGGTTAATAAAATTCTAATTACAAAATTTTTAATGTCAAAAATACACGATAACTCTCAATGCAATGGGTGAGATTCAGCAAAAGGCTCTATATTAAATCCACCCCAAATTACTTCTTCACTATTCATCGCAATGCAATAAATATCAACACTGTAGGCTCTCACTATGTTCGTGGAGCCGTTTTATTTAGCAAATAGAAGATCAATACTATTTACAACACTTGAATTTATTTACAAATGTGTACATGTGTTAACAGTTTAAATTTCAATGTTCTTATGGAGTTCTTGTGTTATTCTAACTTGGAAAGTCTAATGCCCCGCGATTTTATACATATTCAAAAGGAGGTGAAAACCTTGTGTATCCAATCAAACCTCTGCCCATCCTATGTGGGCCAGCCCTCAGATATTCGAAATTCCACCCACTGAGGGTGGTCCCAAGGGGTAGGTATAGTCCCAAAGTACGGTGCTCAACGGCTTGAGAGTACGGCAGTTTGCTTTGTACCCTAAGGTACTTGCCCAATTGCCAATCAAGTAATTTAATTAATATTCACTAAATAAGGGGGCCGCTAATAAGTGTTGGAATTCCCAACAAGCACGTTCACTGTTTATGATCCGTATATGAATCATATCACCGTGCTATTGAATACGCCACTGAAAGACCGGACAGAGAACGTGTTAACTATAATGTCCTACAGTTAACGGGTTAAAAATAGAAGTTTAGGATGGGATTTGGAATAAAATAGTTTCGAACGTGAAGGGGTGGCTGCCGCGTGGAGCGAGGCGGTTCATTGAAACCAGAATTAATTCCTCTGTCCGACAATACGGTAGACGCGATGAAATTTAGATGCGAGAGCGTCAGACACGGAGATATCCGGTCTGGTGCTCGGCGTAGGAGACTCACGAATTATTCATCGACTATCGACGCCGACGCGCACCGGAGGAGATTACGGGGAGCGTCGATACGCGGCTGGATACGATCGGGCGCCGCGGTAAAACTTGTTTCGCGGTGGATTAAAACTTTCTTCGCGAGCTGCAGAGACAAGAGACCCGGAACACGTGGTGGTCGAGTTTGCCAGAGGAAAACTGACTCTCCCGACCGCCATTCCTTCGAATCCTCGTCCCTTCTTTGACAGAACGTTGTCGCCATTCGTAACGAAATAAAAATTTTCCACTCGAACGCCCGACAATTTGCGGGAAACTACGCTTCGAAGGTCGTTCAAACTTTGATTGAAAAAATTCGCCTTGTTCCTGACGATAGACCGACAGGGGGGGAAAAAAGTAAAAAAGGGCAGATACAGAAACTGTACGTCCATCGAAATTTCTCGCGGAAACGAGGCCGATCGCGACGCGTTTAATCGAACGAAATTGCGTCGTTCCTGATTCTTTTTTTTTTTTTGCCCCCCTTCGTGTCCTCCCGTTCGCGCGAAACAATTTTACGATCGTTGGACACTCGTTCCAATTAGACGAAATTATTTCGATTCGACGGATAGTTTGTCGCTGTCGAACGAAATTCCCGAAATTCGTCGTTTCTGAGTCCGTCCAGCAACTTTTTGTTTCGCAAGTTGCCTGTGCCGCGATCAATTTCCAATTTCCCGTCAAAACCGTCTATGTTAATTGCTCCGCTGCGTGTAAAACAATCGCGCGATGACGTAAATAATAGTCCACGGAACAATTTCCAAAGTCGACGAGGTTCGCGGGTAACGTAAACTTCAAGAATTAAATTTCTGAAAGCCATCCGGCGCTTCAAAGGCTGCACAGAAACGCTTACCGACCCAGTTTATGTTCATTCCGCGTTATAAACGTCAGTTTACGTTCAACTTCGGTCGAATTGCACCTTCGACGCGTTGCAGGCAGGCTACAGAAATAATTTTCTAATTCTTTTCGTCGAAAATATTACACCAACGTGGCGAAATATAGCGCCGAAGCTTGTTTAAACGCGAGTGTTTAACGTCGTTTATCAAATTAATGGTTACTCGACGTGTCATTAGAAAGATCAATAGCAGGTTTCGCGTTAAATTACCGCCAGCGAAGGTTTAAACGTTCCCTTTAAATCAAACCTTCGGTATTAATCGCCGCAGAAACGATCCCGCGCTTTCATTCGAGCACCAAAGCAGGGAATTAACAGCCGACAAACGAGAATCGAGAGTAGTCTTTGCTCCTCGCGAGCAATTTGCCTACCCGAAGACGCCCGGCGGAATTTTAACGACGCAAATTGGCATGCCTCATCGTTAAGAAGATTGATCGATCCGCCGCTGCGAAGCAATTCTATTAATTTAATTCGTTGGAACGATGTTTCTACGAGCCTCCCAAGTTTCGTCCACGATACGAGGATCGTTTGGCCTTTTAATTTTCCACCCTTCGAGCCGACGGGGGATTAAATAAGTAAAAAGGCAGTCTGAATTTTCAGCGGCGTTAACCGCGAAGAAACGTTCGCAGATTCCGTGTTCCGGGTCTCGAAAAAGCCTCGGGTCTGACTTGAATAATAGAGATTTCTCTCTGTCCTGACGGGGATTTATTGCTCCCCTACACTCCCAGTCGTTTGTTTCTCCCTGGATCCTCCTAAAGAACTGGCCATAAAAAACTCTGTTTTTTTTTATTTAAAGGACTGCTGCCAGCCTCTACTGGCCTCTACTGGACTCTGCTGATCTCTGCCTGCGTGTGCTGGTCTGTGCTTGCCTTTGCTGGTCTCTACTGGTCTCTACTTGCTTCTGCTGATCTCTGCTGACCACTGCTTACCACTCTTAATACTTCTGACAACGTATAACGATTACAACTAGCCTCTGTTGACCACTTCTGATATATCTGGCAATGTATAACGATTACTACTGGCTACTGTTTGTCTATGCTGGCCTTTACTGACCAGTTCTGATATATCTGGCAATGTATAACGATTACTACTGGCTACTGTTTGTCTCTGCTGGCCTCTGCTGACCTCTGCCAGCATGTGCGGATCTCCTACGTTGTCAGAAGTATTAGGAGTGGTAAGCAGTGGTCAGCAGAAGCAAGTAGAAACCAGCAGAGGCCAGCAGAGGCAAGCACAGTTCAGCACACGCAGGCAGAGATCAGCAGAGACTAGTAGAGGCTGGCAGATGAAAAATTGTTAATTTCATTTAACTTTTTCATATGATTGCTATGTACTTTACAAGGAGGCAAATGTGAGGCCGTCTCTCCCGACTCCCACGAGACGGTCCGAAAGT